CTCGAGCGAGATACTTCCTGGTCCCGCTACGATTCCCCTCGAGCGAGCGATCGAACTTCCCGCGGCGCTCGGCGGCCGCGTTCTCTTTGGATCTCGGAATTTGAATTTCGACTCTGCGAGACCGAGCATCGCGCGCGCGCGACTTCTCGTGTGTAACTTTGAATAAGTGTATATTATGTAATTTCGCTCGGAGACGCGATGAGAACCTGACTTGAGTTTGAGAGAGGAGCTGCGGAACGTCGTCGCCGAATTCGACGTCGCGATTCGACGCGAGGTTGGAGCTATCGGAAGAGTCGCGGGATATCCGAGCTGCGGGGATAATTAAACTTCGACTAACTTTGTCGTGTTGTGTATTTGTACGAGGGGGGGGGGGGTAAATGCAACCGCACGTCGCGTCGAATTGACTCCGGCGCGCGGTAAGAAATTTTTGCGTCGGAAACTGTCCGCTGGAATTTTTGCGTTACGATCGCGGAAAACATGGAGAGGCCAGCGCGGTTGCTGGTGCGAATATATTTTGTTGAGTTCTTTTTGCGGAAGGTCAGATTATGTTTGACGGTGTAAGCGCACGCGCCGATTTATCTGTCGGACTTTTAACGCGGAGAATCTACTTTCCACGTCAAACTGTCTCTGTACCTTAGTTATTAATGTTATGACTCCCCGCCTCCCCCCTTCCGAAATTTCCACAAATTATTAGTTGACTATAGGTTATGTAAGAAGAATTTTATCCACAAAATGATGATTTTTGAGATCTTGTTACCAATGAATCTACACGTCTTTCTACACAAAACAAATAAAATCCAATCCTCACGGGCTTCTAAAATTAATTAAAGAGCAGTTATTATTTTCTACTAGTTGTGCCATTTTCTTAATAATTGCAATTCCCCTATCCATTTTTCAAGAGCTAAACTTGTCAATGAATACTTAAAGGAAAGAAAATGGATTATGCTCGAAGGATTGCGAAGAACCTCCATTCTATTTGTATTTTTCAAATCATACGCCAAATCTTCATCTTCATTTTACCTGAAATATATTCCACACTGAAAGAGATTACAGTTACTTTTTACATATACATGAAAGGTTATTATCACTAATACTATAGCAACCTTTACTAAAAAAATACTCCTAATTATAATTCTCTTACTAACATAATTACAGTGCTACAAATATCAAATATTTTTCTCTCAGTGCATGTGAATTGGATTTTTCCCGCATAACTATGATCAAATTAGCATTAATTGATTCCTTTGAATATCGCAGGAAGTACTGTTTCAGCCGGGAAATACGGTTTAAGAATTCCGACAAATGAGTCCGCACGTGCGTTTACACCGTGAAACGCATTATCCTCTCGTAACAAATTTAACAAAATACATTCAGACCAACAACCATACTCGATTCTCCCCGGATCTCTCTACATTTCCTGCGACTGTATATCCTGATACAATTTAGCCTGCCTTTTGCGATACTTTTACACAACACATGTTAAGGAGTACACAAATATATGTTAAATGAACGTAGATTCCTGTCGGAGCGAGGCGAACATTTCAATGCGCCGTTATTGACGCGAGATCTTTTGCCGTGCACTTTTCTCGGCTTCGTTCGCTTTATCCGTCGGATCTAAAATGCAAATCCGCGGCAATTTCGCTCGCGCGTCGGCCTCGGTCCCTTCCATGAATGGACCCGTACGTATTGCGTTGCCGTTGGAGTCGCGGTCACGCGGCCCGCCTTACGATGTGTCATGCGCTCGCGAATCCTCGCGTCCGCGCGCTTATCTCCCGCACGGATACGCGTGTGAGCGGTGCGTATGCGTGTCGAGAAATTCAGGCGCGAATCGCGGGATAAAAAGAACGGGAAACGGTTCATTGCACTTTCTAAACTGCAGCCGACATTCGTGGCGGATGCACGCGCGCGCGCGTACGTCTGTGCGCACCTGATCGCACGATCACCGCGTCCGACGGTCGTCGTTGGCGAAACCGCGAGAGACGAGGAACGAGGGCGTTGTTGACAGTCTCAGGGCGTGACACCCAGCTTGCTTGTGTGTGTGTGTGTGCACGCATGTTGCGCACACTCGTCGCAGCCCGAACGAAAGACGGTACGAAACGCGAAGAAAGGCCTGGTTTCGACTCTCCCGAAGACGAGGGCTCGTTGCCGCCGCTCGCTCGTATCCTGACTTATCCTCGCGCACATCGCGCGCGCCCCGTTAACATACCTATTCGGAATTCCCGCCTCGACGTATTTCGAGGCCCGCTCTTCCCCCCCGCAGGTGAGCGGAATTCGACCGGCGCGAACGGCTATGATGAATCACCACGCTCGCGCGCCGGCACCGTGATACGAAGCACTCGCGGGTTAGATCGGCTCTCGAAACGTCGACGAAGGAAGAGGCAGGTGGAAAGAGAGCGAGAAAGAGAAAGAGAAAATCTCGGTACTCGCGAGGGCGATCGCGCTGGCTGGAGGGCAACTGGTACCGCGCTGGTACCAGTCGGTCGGACTCGCGCGGCGGACCGTCAGCACGCGAGTACCACCGTATGCATACTGGCGCGTCGTGAACCGCGTTCACGAGCAGCCGGACGAACGGTCACCTGGATAGCATGCAGCCGCCGAGGCGCACCGCGGCGTGGCCTCGGCCGAAGGCTTTCTAACCGCAGCCTCCGCTCGCGCCGGACTCCGCGCGACACACCGCATCTCTCCGGAGGAGGAGGAGATCCCAAGATCGGCGTCGTTCTTCCTCCGCTTCCACCTCTTCTCTCGCCTTCCTTCATCCTTCGCGTGCCCCGCGAGAACGCGCTCCACCTTTCTCTTCTTCTCTTTCTCTCTTTCTCTCTCTCTTTCTTTCTCATTCTTTCTCCCTTGATCCCACTTCTTCGGCCGGCTCACCTCCTTCTTCGCCTCGAAGAGCGGCTTCTACTCCTGCTGAGATGATGATTCCCTACCGGGTGTCCGACCTCCTCTACTTCCCTCCTCGGAGTCTCGCCCCGCTCTTCCAGGTGCGCTCGGGATTCCACGGCTTACTTTTTTCTCCTTTTCTTCCTCCGGCCGCGATACCCTCGACAAATCGGCGCCTCTCTCTCCCTTTCTTTCTTTCTTTCTTTCTTTCTTCGCCCCTTTCTTCGCTCTTTGTCTCCCCTTGGTCACTCTTTGTCCCGCTTCGCGCGAGGGAGACGTCGTCTCCCTTTTCCCGTGCCCCACTCTCGCCCGCGGAGGAAACGCGTTCTCGGGAATCTACGCGCCGCCGACACATTCGGGACACCGTCAACTTTTACCACGCGTGTATGTTTGTGTGTTAACGAGTCGTACGGTTTAACTGCCAGAACACGCGAATCCGTCGCGCATTATTCAGCGAGCTCTTTTAATCAGTAGAAATCACGAAAGCGAAGAATGCCGGCTCTCGTGCGAGACGTGCTGATTGACATCTGACATCTATTGAAAGACGAAGAGAGAGAGAGAGAGAGAGAGAGAGATTCATGAAAGGCCATTAAACTTGACGAACGGCTTTATTAACCGAACGAGACACATAGGCATGTTTAAATAAATATCTGCTTTGAACTCGATCGTCGCACAGCAAGCACGTGCTGCATAGTTGTCTGTTTATATTGTATATTGTGCGGTCAACTGCACAATATGACACACACTTGCGGTTGCATACCCGCAGGTGCTTCCTACCATGCCAACTATGCCGAGTATGCCGCGTCCATTGACCCATTATTTCGATATTTCCTCTCTCTGTATCTGTTGTCTTTGCAAAAAATTGATCATGGGACTCATCGGTGGTGTTACCCCTCCCTCAAGCTTCCGATAGACGCGTGTCCTTCGGATCAAGAATGGTCGCAGGTCACCCGACAGGTGACATCCATATATTTTATAGAAAATTCATGTTTTAAATATAATTTTCCTGTCCACTGCTTTTAGAGTCTGTGGAAATGTGAAAATAAAACAAATTCGATTGAATACTTAGTTATCTACGAGGAAAACACATTAAACGCACAGCAATTTTTAAAGAACAGTATGTATGTATCACACTTCTTTAAAATCGTATCGTAATTTTTCAAGATACAATTTTAAAAGATACAACAAAGAAAAGAAAATTTTTTAACTTGCAACTTTAAATTAAACTTTAAATTTAAACTTAAACGTAACACTTTAAATTATGAAACTTCGGGAACCCTAAACTTAAAAGTCACTTAAAAATTACTCTCAGTATCGGTGCTTCGGCTACGATAGCAGTCTTGACACAAGTTGGTAATGTCTCCCAAGTAAAGATACTTAATAAAAGTTACGTAGAAATACTTAATTTTTTTTTCTCATTTTATTTGCTTCGTACAATTGACATATCTATTCTTTGCTGTTTCGATGACGTTTTCTGACGTATTCATCACAGAAATAGGATTTACCGTTCCTTTTATGAGCTTTTTGAATCTCTCGCGGTGAATTCTGGGCCAAGCAGCAACATTAAAAATACACCAATTGTGTTGCTGTGCACCTGTCAGGTGTTCTTGCCTCCTACAGTTCTGATGTTGATGCTGCGGAAGGCAAACGTGCACTGTTCTACAGAAACAAGAGAGATAGGAAGGTAACAAAAAAAAAATGGCGCGTGTCCCTCCAACCTCTACTCCATGCTGTACTAAAATAAACTCGGGCAGCACCTCACAGATGCACGCGTCGATAGGTCTATCGATAGGTCAACCGGCAGCTTCGAATACGTTCGGAGCAACTTCGACCCGCTTCTCCGTAAGAAACGAAAGAGCTCCTCGAACTGAAGTCGTGGATCAACGCGAGAAGGGCGTTTCTCTGCGTGTTCCTCAGCTTTTGAAAAAAGAAAAAAAAATATCGAGATGAATACAAGCTTTCGAGCGCGAAGCAGTTGAAATTCGGTCGAATGAAACCAATTAAAGCGGAGATCTCAGTAGGCGAAATCTCGAAGAGAACGGGGAGGGGGAGAGAGGAGGTGTCGTTAGCGGTACCGAGATATTGTCCTCCAGTCAAGTTGTCGACGCGCTTCCGTTCGAATCCACGGAGGCCGAAATCCAGGAGGAAGAAACGAGGGCGGGTGGTCAAAGTCGCGCGCGGAAGTGCCGGACCGACCGATTGCGCTGAAAAAGGAGTTTGGTAACGATTACGCAAGCATTTAGTGAAATAGTTTCATGACATATTTAACGAAATTATTCGGTTACTACAACCAGATCACTGGGAGCTATTTCGCTGGATATTTGCTAATTGTTGCCGGATCCGTTTTTCAGCGTGCAAACGGCAATTCGCGCGGGACGAGGGGTCGGTCGATCGGGTCGATTCTTGGCGCGCAAAGACCGAACTCCTCGCGACCACCGCCGATAGATACACGTCGGGAAGGTGGCTGAACTCCGCCGGCGGTGACCGAGGGTAGCGCAAGAATGTTTGCCTGACATCGGAGTGCGCACGGGGCTATCAACAAAGTGCTACGGAGCTCATTAAAGCCCCCGCGACAGGAAAGGACGAGTTGATTCAAAGCAAACCGCACGGCGCTCAAAGACCGACGACCGGGTCGCGCAAACCCACGGACTTCGGGAACAGAATTCTACCGCGTAGAGAACGCCCTCGACGCGATTCACCCTCTCGCGTCGGCGAGTCTCCCGGCGCGTTTGTGCTCTCGCAGCGGATTCGGCGCAGCCGAGATTAGCGTCGGCAAGACAACCGGGGTTATCTTGGCGTCGCTTCCTGTGCCACTAACTATAGAGATAACTAGAAATCGCATGCATTTGCCCGGTACCGAAGACCGGCGAGGCAGCAATTCAATACTGAAATAAGGATTTCATATTACGATACCAATGCCTTAAGGTAGCCGTAGCATGAAATTAGTTACCTTAAGAATTCGTTGAAACTCGCGCAATATGTATCAGGAGTGTAAATTAATTCGGTGCCTTTCCTACTCATTTCTAATTTCGAATTCTACAGACGCGGTCAAAATTTATCAGATTCCTTACGCGCTATCGTTTATTCTCACTTGTTTGTTTTAGCTGTGAATTTCGCAGCCATAACGTAACCAAAGTTCTCGTCCAGTTCGAAAAACATATATTTGTGTTTGCCATGATACAGGGTGTTTCAGAGCCACGGCGACAAACTTTGCGAGGGCGTAGAACGCAGTGAGATGAGCGAAGAAGTCCTCTATCATTTCTGCAAACCGCACGCAACATTTCGAGTTATTAATTATTGAAAATAGCCATATATAGAGGCTTCTTTAATTGCTAGCTCGATAACTTGTGTGTCACTTGCAAAATGGTAAAGGATTTTTCGTTTCAAAGTGGCCTAATTTACAAATATATGTTGTACTTAACGACAGTCATCAGTTATATTTAGTCCGTCTAGTATTTTAACAATGTTACACTTCAGGTCGATACTAGAAATCGGTACAGTTATGGTACTGTCTTTCGAGTTTCGGCCCAAGACTGTCATCCCAGCGTCCCAGTATTCCAGTATCAAATCAGTATCGGTATCCAGTAACGTTCACTGAAAATCGGCACTTCGCCGGCACCTCGCTAGCGGCTACTTCCTACTTGGGTATCGAATGGAGACGCACGGTTCAGTTGCTCGAGAACTATTCGTATGTCGTTGCTCTGGATATAGTTTCAGCGTAGCTGCGATTTATCCACGCGTAAAGGAGCACGAAGAACTCTCCGAGCACGACAATGGACGCGCGTGGATCCCACGGGCTTCTGGCTAAGCGCGTTCCTCCTCCATCACTAGGAGAATCCCGGTTGGTTCTTCGAGGCTGGCCCGTAATTCACCTCGCCGAGCAGCCAGCGGGACCACTCTGTTGCAGGACGCGTTTGACAAACTTCAGAAGCCCACCGTCGAGAGCTTCCGTCATTCTCCCCGCAATGCTGCGTTCCCGAATCCCCGAAAGAACTGGAAGGCCATCCGTGAGGAATCCGAGAGGAACGAACGCGCGACGGGAAGAAGGATATCCCGGGGAACCGAAGAATACGGGAGACCTTCGTAACCAAGGAAACCCGCGCATCTTCATTATATTCGACCGACTGTACGCGATCTACGCGATTGGAAAAGAGAGAGAGAGAGAGACCGTCGTATAAAGTCAGATCTTTCCAGATGAAAAGAACGTCTCGATAAATACTTGAAGAGAAATTGAATGTACGAGACCGAAACGATTGTTCGACACGTCGTTCCAATATCTCTCGGGACATCCGTGGAGGACCGAGCGGTTTATTTGGCAAAAAGATCAGCGGCGCGCACGGCGTCGTGTCCACTTTGGAAAATGACTGAAACATTTCGGAAATTGATCGTATACAAACGAGTTCGGAGGATGGCACGGAGCCAATCCAAGCGTCAAAAGTGTTACCCGGAAGGTCTATCGCGGCCGAGATTCCGCGCGAGAGAGGCGGAAGACCGTTTCCAATAAAACAAGATTGTCTGATATATCTGCCCGTCGGAAAGAAGCGGGATAAGGGATTCGGAATCCATAATCCGAGCACACAGATGATGCAAATTCGTCGGTTCGCCATATCGTTTATTTTATTACACTTATTAACCGATGCGTTCGCATCGTTCACGACGTTACCTTCTATGATATTGTCCTCCTCTAAAGGATCTTTT